TAAATAAATAAATACATAAATAAATAAAAATAAATAAATAAAAGAAGCAATAAAGCTTAAAGATATATTAGTCATAAATACATTTAAATTCAACAGCACAACCTCACAATTTATTACAACTAATTATCATGATTAATGACTAAAAAAGTACAGGTGGAGGTTGATTTTCCTTAAAAAATTGCAATTGATGATTATAAGAAGTGCCTTTCAAACTCTTGTACATAGTCTAGACATTTGCTCTGAGATCTCAAAGAACAATAAAATTATTTAATATTAATAAAGCCTTAAAAAATAAGAAACTGATAAACTCTTCCAGATTAAAAATTACTAGGAAGGTGAAAACTCACTGGAATGCACAATTCTGGATTGCAAGGAAGGAGGTTGGGAGTATGGAGGAAATGAAAATCTTTATTGGGAAAAATTCATGCAATTTGAATATGTTATGGATCAGATAATAGTATTAACTGCAAATTAAATTTCCTGAATATGATCCTTCTCCTGTGTTTATGTAGAAGAATGTCCTTGTTGTTGAGAAATACATGAAAATCTCTAGCAACAAACAGGCACAATGTCTGCAACTAACTCTAAAATGGTTAAGAAAACCCATCAGAGAGATGGGGAGAGAAAAAGAAATCAAGTAGGGCAAAATGGTAAACATTTTTGAGTTTGGACAAAGTGTACATAAGAATTCTTTGTATTATTGTAACTTTTGTGTAAGTTTGAAATTATTTCAAGATAAAAAGTTTTTAAATGCCGTCACCTTTGAGTTAAAAGGAAAATATAAAAAACATACAGAAAACTTAGAACCAAATAAAAGTGAAAATATTACATATGAAAGTTTAGTAGATATGATTAAAGCAGAACTTAGTGGGAAAGTTTTTTTACCTTTAATACACTTAACAGGAAACCAAAAAGAAAGTTAGGTGAGCTAAGCATTTGGCTCATAAGTTAGGTAAAGAGGAACAGAGAGAACTCAAAGAAGGAAGGAAATAATAAAGATAAGAATAGAGATCAATAAAATAGAGAACTACAAGTAATAAAAGAGATTAAGGCAAACAAAAGTGGGCTTTAGAAAGAAATTCACATGTGTTGTTCTAGAAAATAGAATAAAGAACAAAACACACTTGCTGGGTAGAGGAATTTGCATTACAAAAACAAGGAAATACCAGAAATGTAAGTTTTATATCTATGCTTCATAAAAGTATATACCGCACCCTAGGTAAAAGAGCAACTGAACAAGGCCAACAGTGATATGAAACTGTAGGATGCTCAGATGGTTTAGCCTAGGAATGCAACGTTGTTGCACATAAAAAAAAGTCCCAATACAGTTCACCATATGAGGGTATGAAAAAGGCAAATTAAATACAATAAATCAAAGCTAGAAAGCGGTTTTTGTTACACTTTGACTTCTATTTATGTTTTCTCTTTTTAAAAATGTGAATAAAGGTAGCCAAAATACAGTTGCATAGGAGGAATTGGTTCTAATGTTCTACAGCAGGGTAGGATGACTATAGTTCATTATACAATTTACATCTATTTTATAAAGAACTAAGAGAGGTCGAAAGAAATGGTGTTTAATGAGACAAAATGCTAATTACTCTGGTTTGATCATTAGATGTTGTATACATGTATCAAATTATCACAGTGTACCCCTACAAATAGAATTGTTACATGCCAATTAAAAAGAAGCACTTAGAAACCAGGCATGTAATCCCAGCACTCTCAGAGGCTGAGGCAGGAGAATGGAGAGAGTTCAAGCCCAGCTTGAGCAACTTAGTAACTTAGCAAGACCCTATTTCAAAATAAAAAGAAGGCTTTGAAAACGGGATAAGAAGGAAAACCAGTTAGCACCTCTGGACTGGAGGAACAACACACTGATGAACACTGTGGGCTCTCTTTTGCCTCGTATCTCCCAGACTTGGAGCTGGAAACTTGGACAAGCAGCACAAACAGGAAGATCTACAACAGCTGCAGCAAAAACCCTGATCCCGCTGGCCAAGACCAGGACGGGGGCAGCCCAGCAAGAGAGAACTTTCAGAAAAGAGCAGCACGAGGCAGACACTCCGCGCACCTGTCACTCCACTCCTACTCAGCCAGAAGGACCGAACGGGAAGCCTAGACGGCCACCCTTTGAGGGGTAACTGGGCCCCCAAACACACCCACGGGTGACCACGAAGCCCGGAGTTTCATTCCTGCAAACCAGTAATGAGGCCCCTCTCTCTCCTGGATGTCAGGGGAGACAAGGAGGAACACCCACCCAGCAATTCTGAAAATGGCTAAAAGAAATTCTCCAAACAAAACAGAAGTGATAAAATAGTAATTTGAAGCATTAATAAAGAAGAAAGAACGAGGTGAACACTGTATGGGTGAATACAATAAATGTTCCTTTTATTCTTTAGTTTTCTAAATGATGTTTGATGGTTAAGCAAAAGTTACAACACTGCTGGGTACAGTTCTAAATGCATGAGAAAGCTCACACTGTCCATCCAGCACTCACAAGTTCAAGCTACTGATTGAGCAAACCAAAAAATAAAAATATATGTCTGTAGAAGAAATATGTCAGATAGTTACATTGTAAGTGGAGTAAAGAGATGAGATGTAGAGATGTCTTATATAATTTAGTAACAAATAATGACACCAGCAGACTGCGACAAGCAAAACTGCACACACACACACACTCACACACTCACACACACACCACACAAATTAAAAATGGAATTATAAAAAATGTTTAGGTAAGTCATAAAGAAATACAAAAAAAGAAATGAAAAATATAGACAGAAAAATCAGCAAGGACATAGAAAAATTCAGCAAGACATTTATCCTAGAGGAAAAAGAATTTCTGCCCACATAAAAACCTGTACATATGTGTTTATAGTGGCTTTATTCATATTAGTCAAAAGCTGGAAACAGCGCCAATGTCATTACTGATGAGTGGGTAGATGGATGGTGCTCTAGCTGTACCCTAGGGTTCGACTCGGCAATACAAAACTATCGATGTATGCAACAGTCTGTGTAATCTCCAGTAAAGCATTCTGAGAAGAAAAAGAGTTGATCCTAAAAGGTTACATAGTGTATGTTCCTATTTTAGAAACATGTTGTCTTGAAATGATAAAATTTTGTCTTGAAATGACAAAATTAAAGCAATGGAGAACAGACTAGTAATTGCCAGGCATTAAGGAGAGGGTGGGGTGGCAGGTGACTGGCTAGAAGGACAATGGGAGGAAGCCACGTGATGATACACGTATTGTGCATCTTAAGGGATGCCTTCTTTTTTTTTTTTTTTGGTACCGGGGACCGAACTCAGGACCTGTGCTTTTGAGGTAGGCAGCGGCACCACTGAGCTAAATCTCTGGTCCTTGTATTGTGTATCTTGACTGCATCAATGTAGCCTACCTGTGCTATTGTAGTTTGCAAATAATACTATCAGAGGAAGCCAGGTGAAGGACACCGGATCTGTTCATATTATTTCTTACGATTGCATCTGAATCTACACTATGACAAAAATTTTAAATTAAAATCTATAGCAAAGCTAGGCATGGTGGTGCATGCTCCTAATCCCCACCCTCTAGAGGCTGAGGCTGACGATCGCTGTGAGTTCGAAGCCAGCCTGGGATACACAGGGAGACCCTGTCTGAAAAAACAAACAGGGGCCGGGGATTTAGCTCAGTGGTTCCACCGCCTACCTCAAAAGCACAAGGTCCTCAGTTCGATCCCTGATACCCGCCCCCAAAAAAAGACAGAAATATCATCACATTCTAGGACATGGATGAACTTTAAGGGCATCACGCTGAGCAAAATAAACCAGTCTCAAAAAACAAAACCTTCAGTTACATGAGGTACTGAAGCAGTCAAATTCATGGAAACAGAAATTAGAATGATGATGGGGGGGGGCGGTGAGAGGAAACAGGAAGTTGTTTAATAATAGGGCTCCAGTTTTGGAAGACAAAAAGGAGATTAATTGCAGGGAAATTGGAATACACCTAATGCTGCTGAATTGTACACTTTAAAATGGTCAAATGGTACTTTTGTTATGTTTTCACCATAATTTTTAAAAAACTGGTTATTTTTCTCTTCACTAGAGAAAGATTCAAAAATAAAATTACAATAACATCCAATAGCAGCAAAAGCTACAAAATTTCTAAGAATTAACTGATCCTACAAAGAACCACTATGAAAAAGTAAATTTTAAAAGCCATAATATTGAACAAATAAGACTACTTTTTTGGGTTTGTTTGTTTTTTTTTTTTTGGGTACCAGGGATCGAACTCAGGTCATTGCACTTGCGCAGCAGGCGGAGAAACCACTGAGCTACATCCCCAGCCCCACAAATAAGACTACTTTAATAAATGGGGAAATATCCTCTGCTTTTGTGCAGGATGCTTTAATATTAAAAGAAACCAATCACCCTCAAATTGCTTTGTAAATTCAGTGTAACCTCAATCACAACTTCACATTGAGGAATTCAGTAAACTTACTGTAAAATGTGTATGGAATGTGTGAAAATGTATGAAAAGGAAACAAAGCCCCACAGAGCTACAGAAAGCCCGGCGGGCGGAGGGCACAGCTGCAGGTGCCGGCTCTCCTGGGTTCCCCAGAGGAGGCTGTGCGCTTCCTCTCCGCTGCTAAGCTTCTGCCTCTGTCCAAGGCCACGGCACCCCTTGTCTGTCCCCTGCCCTGGCCACCTGGCTTCTCTCCTTCTGTCGTCAGTGTGCTGCCCCGATGTGTCCCACACCTGCCGTCCACCTTTCTCCACCTGGTGCGCACACGCAGTGCTGGCCGTGTGACCAGGACAGCCTTGGCCTGAGAGCAGACAGAGGGCAGGATAAGGTCAGGGTTGCCCTGTCTGCGCTCACCCTGAGCTGGCTGTCCCTGCGCTAAGGCCACTGCTCCCAGCAAGGTGCAGCCGCCGGCTCCGGGGTACAGCATCAGGCTACTGTACTCAGTCCACTTCTCTGTAAACACTTCCTTGTAAATAAACTCCCCTTGAACTGCCCTACCTTGCGTGTGCCATCTGGTCTTCACGGAGACTTGGACCTGACGAAGGCCGAAAGCAGTTCATTCCGCGTTCCAGACCCGGCTGGCCAGGAGCTCCCCCAGGCTTCCTGTGCAATGGAAGAGGCAGGGTCTGGAGAGCAGTGAGCCCCGAATGGGAGCAATCTCCCCGCCCTCTTGGGCCCTGGGGACAGTCTGTGCCAAGGATGGCAGGACGCGCCCAGGAGGAGACTGTGCCTTGCTCAAGGCAGTTTGGAGGCTCTGAGGAGTGGCAGGCACGCCCCCAAACCAAGTGAGTGGGGTAGAACTCCCCTCACCTGTCATCTCATTTGCCCAGTTTCGCTTTATTATTTAAACAAATTATCTAAAAACAGTTGCGCTGAAATTAGGTGTTGGTCCTTGTCCACTCCTTTCATGTGAATGTGCGCATGCGCAGGGAGACAGCAAGCGCCTGGAACCCATAGTCATGTTCTCCTTCAGGAAAGAGTCCGAGGCTGTGCCTTCCCCCGGGTTTGGGTTTCCTTTCCATTTCCTCTAATGGGCGAAGGAGAACCTCCAACTCGGGTCAACACCTTTCTCTCTGTTATCTGCCCCAGGGGTTCAAGGAAGTCCCTGCCCCGGGCGTGGCTCATGGGCAGAGACCCAGTTCTTTCAGGCATGGGCAGGCAGTGGGACTCATGACCCTTAAAGTAACTCATCTGGAAGTTCAGCTTCTAAATGAGCAAGACACGGGAGGTGGAGGACCATTGATGTGCCACTTGGATTCGATATGATACAAAAGGCTCTCTCTCCCTCCATCCTCTTGCTGTCTCCCTGTTTCCTTCCCTCACCCTCTCCCTCTCTTCCTCATACACACACAGCCACTCCCCTTTTGGGGTGCACTACTAGGTATCACGTTCCACTCTCCTTCTGCAGTCCTGGAGCCAGCCCATCCTTACTCCTCTTCCACCTCCCTTCCGGGCAGCATTCTTTCCCCTGTGTGATGGCAGTGGAACTCCCTTTTGTACTTAAAGTAAATCTGGCTTTCTGGATCCCAGGACACCTACACAGCACTTCTTCCTATTTCCCCCCGGAAAGGGACAGCCTTCCCTCTAAGGCAAGCTTACGGTTGCCCTCTAAGGATGGTCTGCCCGCGCAATCTTGGTGTGAGTGGGCTGTAAACTGTCCAGTGATCTAGCTCCTTCCCCAGGGATTCTGTGCCTTTGATCCCCACTGTGTCCAGAACCCTTAGATGTGTGAATTCCCCTTCAAAACTGCCCGGGTAGAGACAAGGCACAAAGCCTTACCCCGAGTTCAAAAGGAACTTGCTTTGTCCACCTAAATCAAAAACAAGACCAGTGAACGAAAACGCAATAGAGAACCAGGAGAATTTGCAGGGATCAATTCTGAGCCCACACTTACCAGCTAACTTCCCCAGCACACATCACTCACTGCTCCCATCCTCTGTGGCCGTGCTCAGGGAATGACCATTTGAACTCATGAGCATTTTCCCTCCCACTGACTTCTTCCATGAACTCTTTGTAGAAGAGACGCCCTAATCACCAAGATCCTTCTGAGGAGACCAGGGATGTGGTGGAGATCAATTCAGTGATTGGAAAAAGACTGAGCATCTACTTTGGACATCAAATTTGTATGAACAGCCCTACCCCCCTCTTCCTCCAGGCACAGAAACGGTCTAGGGACAGAAAGTTGTGGTCCCCATGAACACCTCGGCCGCCCACCCACACCTACCATGGTGAGAACCCACAGGAAGTTCGACACACATTCTGCCTTGTGATTTCCTTTCCCCGGCCGGTCACTGCCGAATCTCATGTGTTCCCACACCGACATGCAAACGTGTCCACAACCCTTCTTTCTCCCTCCACGGTCTTCTGTTAGGAAGTTCATTCAGTACCCTTCTTCATTTTTTTTCTTTTCATGTCTTTGGTTTCTTTTCTTTGCTGCCAGTTGAGTTCCCAACTCTAATTCCAAAAGCAATTCTACTGCCCAAATTTCTGTGCCCAGCAGCTGTCTCCACTGGAAAACAAATGGCACCAGATGCTGTTCTCTCTTCTACAGGTGAAATTTATCCCCAGAGAGCAGCTATCCCATGGATTTGGGATGGAAGGGGATGGAAAGGTGACCTTCCAGTTAGGTGTAACTCGCCTGCATGAAGGTCTTCAAAATAAAGTCCTCTACTTACTTCCAGCTCAGTTAGATAAACTCTCTTAAAATTTTTATTCTTTGACCTTGGGCAAGTCATGTAACCTCTCTTCACCTCATTTCTTTGGTCTGTGACATAGGAGGAAATCATCAGTTCCCTATGGGGTCACTGTAAAAAGAGAATGGGATGCAACACGAAGCACTTGGCTCAGGGATGAGCAGCTATAAGCTCTCAGCCACATTCCTTCCCCAGCTAGGGTGTGGAAGAAATAACTCGCTAGACCTCAAAACTCTGAAATCAGTCTCTGAATCCTGACTTTCTTCCTCACTGTTTGTTTCCAGTGTTCTACCACTGACCTACAACCCCAACCCTTCAGTCCTGACTTTCTGAAGGGCTGCCTCAGGGTTGTAGTAAAGATCAAATAAAATAATGCACATTGAGCTCTTGGCCCCCACTATACCTGGCTCAGAATGTTGACTAACTGATGACAGCTAATGTCACCGTTGTGGGCTCACTGTGTGCCGGGCATGTCCTGAGCATGTGCCAATGTGAACTCATTTAGCGCTCATAAGACCCCACATGAACTGAGTAAGCTGCTGGGCCCCTCCCTCTTCCTTACTCTGACTCCATCCCGCCGTCATTTGCTTTCTTTTTATGAATTATAACTTCGAACCCTGCCCCCACTTCGCTTGTATCTAGATGAGAAATGGGAGGAGGTGCTGACAGTTCCTCGAGCAGGACAGCATCAGCCCCAGCCCTCCTTTGCTGGAGGAGGAGGAGAAGAAGAAACACACGGAAAACCAACAATTCCTCCAGAGTTTATTTCTCAGGGATGGTCACCAGGGCTCCGTCCTCTGCAGCACAGTGGTCCCCTCAGGAGAGCTCCCTCCTGATTTTTTTCACCCCAGCAATATGACCTTGGATGATAGTTTGGGGGAGCTCGGTTTCAGGAATGTGTTGCTATAGTTTACACAGAGAAGTGGGGAGATGCAAAGAATTGGGCAGAGGAACCTTAGGGTCCAAGAAAACATGGAGAGATTGGAGATCATGGAGAGGGTGCATGACAGCATCATTAAGTTTGAATTCCCTTCTCACTTGGAGTGGAAGTTGCAGGATTCTGACCCTAGGAAATGTGTCGTCCTGCAGAAGAAACAGAAAGGACATGGTGATGATAATCCCACTTAACCCCATCATTTTCCTCTGTAAGTGTCCCATGCCAAAGTCTTAGTACAAGGACGGTGAAAATTCTCAGTCGCCAGCAACTAATTCACCATGGCTCCCTCCCCACAGATACTCTGCTGGGTGGAGGAAGAGCTTGCAGGAGCTCCTCTTTCCTCTTTCCCAGTCCTAATCACAACTGTGGCATCTTAAATCAGCTCACTGGACCCCACAGCAGCTCCCCCTACTCTAGGCACCACTAGCTGAACCCAACCCTGACTCTTCCTACTCATTCTCTCCGAAGGGCCAGGGGCAAACAGAGCAACAGAGCTGTTACCTTCAGGGTAAATGGATCCAGGGAGGGAAGTGTAGCCTAGGAGAGGAAGGTGCCGGATTAGACCAATAAAACTACGTGGCCTTATTCATAGCAAACAGGGTAGGAATGCAGGAATCATCACAAACAGACAACGAGCGAGCGAGCGAGACGTGAACAGTGCAGATGGGAGCTCAGGGGCACTCACTGGAGGAGCCGGCCTTCCGCCAGCTGATCACGCCGATGGAGAAGACGATGATGCCCAGGCCCAGGGTCACCGCAGACACAGACACCTTCACTGTCTGCACGGGGGACAGCCCAGGAGCTGCAAGAGATCAGGCACTCAGTAGAACCAATCTCTGACTTGTCATCAGAGCAACTTAATTTACAGCAACCTCCCCTTACGGAGCTCAGAGGTCCTTTACTGCAGCCCCGCTGTCTGGCCCACACCAAGCTCTCCCCAAGGAAACAGCCTTCCTCAAAGCCATCACCCGCGAGCCTCCCTCTCCAGAGTCACTCCCAGCTCCCAGCTCCTTTCTCACAGCAGCCTGCTCTCTCCTCTGACCTCAGGGCACCCTCGCTGCAGGCACAAGGCCTTCCTCGCTCTCCTCTCTCCTTTGCCCCCGTGACTGACAAAGTTTGCTCTCCTATATGCTCATCTGAGCAGTTTCCTGTTAAACTATCTCTCCCCCTCTCCTGACCTCCAATGGTTCCGCTTGGCGATTTATGCTAATATTCGTGCCTTCTATGTCCAGATTTCCCGTGGACCCTCTCAGGGTTTGCCTCCATCCTGCTCCGCTTGCTAGCACTGGTCCTATTCTGAACTGCATCCCACTTGGGTCCTTTTCCCATGGTGAAGCGAGAGCTCCATCACCAAGGAAAGCTCCCGTGCGACTTTCCCCAGGGGACCTCAAGTGAGCATGGAGTCCCCTCTGCCCCTGCCCCTGTGCCCCTCTCAGCGCCAGGCCCGGACCCTGCCCCCTGGCTCCTATCCCCTTACTCGTGTCTTCTTTCCCAATAACCTTGCTCTGTGCGCAGCTTTCCTCACTGCCTTTCACTATCCCCAGGCTTGGGGTTCAAACAGTGATAATGAGCTCTTCAGCCACCATCCCCTAAGCACCCACGATGGTTTCACCACCCTGTTCAGCTCAACAGAGCGCCCCAAGTGCAGTGCTGCCCCACACCAAAAGAAAGTCAGTCCCCTTTACTCCTGGACCTTCATTTATCTTGCACATCTGTCCTTGAACTGACCACAGAATAGCTGAAGTCTGAGGGCCCTGGGACAGTGAATCTCAGTGTTTGATTCTAACAATGCAGCTGCCAAAGCTACATCCTCTTCTGGGACCACCATCCTGTCCTCCACCCTCAAGCACAGACACAGCAACACCAACCACCACTGCAGAGCACCAAAGCCGCGCCCTTCCCATGCCTCTGGGCCACATCCTCATCGCCCTCGCCGGGCCCAAGCCCTTGAACGTTTCCCCAGACTCACTTCCCACTCCCAGCGTCTGCCCCTGCCACACACCACGGCTGCCCACGCCTCACTCCTCTGCCAAAATACTGCTGCTCCTTTTACAGCCACCAGCTCCAGGCCCCTCCCGGCTTTAACCCTAACACCTCCCGTCTGCCACACTCACTCCAGTCCTGTCGGATGGGCTCAGACGCCCCAACATGCTCCGCCACACAGGTGTAGACGTCCCCATAAGAGGGGGTCAAGGCCAAACGAGAAATGGTCTGGTACGTCCAGTCTCCGTTGGGCTGGGCGGTCTTCTGGGCACTGCTGTGAGGGGTGACAAGCAGCCCATTCTTCATCCAGTTAATGGTCACATCGGCGGGGTAGAAGCCCCACACGTAGCAGGCCAGCATCACGGGCTCCCTGGTGTTGAAAGGGGTGGTTTGGGCTACCTGCACCGATGGCGGTTCTTCGTAGGAGAGAAACACAGTCAGGAATGGAGGTGGCATCCTGGCTTTCTCTCCAACTTCATTTCTTCCCCACTGCAGCTCCTCATACATTTTGCCAACGGACCTCTCACACTCGTCCCCCGTGCTGAGCCCCCACAGGAAAGTGAGGGCTGCACTGCCTCCTGCTTCACAGCTTTTCTCTCCCTCTCCTTCACTGGCCCCATTTCTTTCCTCCTTCAGAGTTATAGTTCATCCCAATCGGTGAATGCCAGGTCTGACCAGCGAGCTGGGTCACAGTCATCATGCCTATTTCCAGTACATTAGCTCGAAAGTACATCAGCAAAAGGCAACCCAGGCCTGCAAACTGGCCTCGGGGCTCCTAAATATCGTTTCACTAATCGATCTGTTAAATAAAGCTTCTCCTTGGACGGTTTAAGGAAACAAACCTAACCCAGGACCAACTCTCTTAAATTTGGAATTAGTGTAGTTCAAATTAATGAGGTTGCTAATACTGCAAATGAATCTTTTATTAATTTGTTCTCTTAGGTGACCCTCTTTCTTGCCTCTACCTTGGTATTTTTCAGGCAAAAATCTTAGAGAAAAGTCCAATAAGTTACGTTAAAATCCTTAGCCTACAAACCCAGCTATTTTTACCCAGTGGATCTGGCATAGTACCCAGGAGCTTGCATTTTTAAAAAGCACTTCCTCCGGGCCATTCTGAGAAAGTGGGCCCGGTTCAGAAACTGCATCTTAAGACACACTACTTGCCCTCTGGAGAGCTTCAGCTTTGTGCTCGGGAGACCTCCAGCCATTATCAGTGCAGGGCACTCAGGGACAGAGTGGGCCAGAACTCCCTAGGAGCTCTGCAAATATGCCCATGCCCAGGTTCGCTCCAAATTAGAACATCAAATCTGGGACAAAGAAGCACGAACACTTGGGGAAAGCCACTCGGGTTGCTCTGACACAGGCTGAACTTGGTTCTGCATCCTGAGATCCAGCCTTCCTGCTGTCGCCCTGATGTCTCCTCAGGGACTCCGATGTCACCTCCTCTTCTTTACTCACATTCCACCCCCCAATCACCACATTTCCCTTGTTGGCCCACCCTCCCTCCTCCTAGCTACAGGTCTTCGGTCTACCGCTCCTCCCTGCTCGAGTCTCAAACCCCTGCCTGCCCTCCCCTAGCTGTGCTCCCTCATGGCCCCCTATGCCCTCTCTCCTCACTTCTTCTGTGGGTCAGCGACTCCCAGAAGGGCTGGGTGTGCGTGGCACAGTCCTGGAGTCCGTTGCGCAAGCGCTGAAGCAGGTTCGTATTATTGTTTAAATAATTGGACAAAGAGACAGCCAGCATATGCAGTGTCCCAAATTCACAAGGGGCCATTCTGTCCTCCTCTGGGTCCCAGCAGGTCAGCAGGTCCTTGTTGTAGGCGATGCAATATGCGAAGTCCTTTGGGATCCCATTATCATCCAACAGACAGGTGCTTTCCACATGGGCCATAAAACCACCTACGGGAGCCAGAGAAGGGAAGGCCAGGCAGTGTCTGCTGCAAGAACGACACAAGAACACTAACTCTGCCCTGCATCCCTGGCGCAGATTCCCCAAACCTTTGTAATTTCGTGAGTAACAGGGGGCTTGATGCATCTTTTGCTCAAATATTTGGTCTTTGCCCCAGTGCCCAGCGTAGAGCTCCTATTCGCTTGGAATCTCCTGTGCGATAGCAGCATCTTTTGTACTAGTGAGGTGACTCTTGGTGGGCTCCTGGGTCAGGGGTGGTCACCAGAAAGACTAAGCAGTGATTAGAAGCTCGGAATTTGTATTTCCGTCCCAGGAATGGGAGAGGAGCTGGAGCCTGAGTTGATAACCGATCATACTTATGTAATAAAGCCTCCACAACAATCTCTAAGCCTGGGGTCTGCGACCCTCTCAGTTGGTAAACACATCTGGGAGAGTGGCACCCCAACTCCACGGGGACAGAAGCTCCCCAGCTTGGGGCCCTGCTGGTCCTCATCTTATACACCCTGACAGCTCATCACCTGACAGTTCTTCTGTATGCTTTAAAGTATGTTTGGAATAAACTGGTAATAGTAAGCAATCTATTTTCTTAGGTTCTCTGAGCCTCTCTAGCAAATCAGTGAACCTAAGGAGGGGGTCATGGGAACTGCTGATTTGTAGCCAAGTTAGACAGAAGTTGTGAGTGACCCAGGGACCTGCTACTCTCAACTGGGATCTGAAATGGGGCCAGGCAGTCTTGTGAGACTGAGCCAGTGGGCTCCGTGTTCATTCTGATGGTTGTCGTAGTCCAGCTGAATTACAGGGTGTCCAGCTGCTATGGGAGAATTGGTTAGGGGGGCAGTGTGAAAAGAAGCGGTGTTAGATGTGAGTACAGAGAAGAAAACACCATTGGTTTTTCCTGTATTTAGCTGGGAATCCAAGCTCTGCTACACTCAGGCTTCCCACCTCCGGCAGCATCTACTGACCAAGTTCACCCTGCACTGTCGGGAGCCAATGGAGGGAAACAGGGCAGGTTTCAGGCCCGATTCCTATTTATAGGTGACTAAGTTCTTGGATAGGAGCAGCCCAAGATTATTTACAAGTTTAAACCCAATTTACACCCAATCCCAGACCTTCAGTGGGAAAATTATTGAGAGGGACAAAAAGGGTCGAAAGAAAGAATCAGCCTTAACTTCCCACTCCACACATATTTCTGAGACCCTTCTATACCCCAGGCACAATAGTAGGAGCCAGCAACGCAGCGATACACACGGCAGAAACCGTCCTTGTCCACATTCCAGCAGGGGAGGGGACGTTACATAAACACTACACAGCTGGACTCATACTGCAATGGCTACTAAGGTTCACTACACAGTGCTACAGGAATAACACAGCGGGGAGACCAACTCATCTGGGGTGGTCTCGCCCAGTAGCAGAAACTTCATCCCAAAACAAGGGAAAAGAGAGCCTCGGGGAGAAACGCCCTTACCTGCTCCTGTGCACGCCAGGCTGAGGCCCAGCAGCAGCGGCAGGAGTGTGCTCATGCTCTGCTCTGCTCTGCAGCAGCACCGGGAGTTCAGGCCCCCGCCCGGCTCTTGCAGCGACCCTGGGTTCCTCCTGCCCCAGAACACCGGGCTGGATAAGTGAGCTCCTCACACCAAGTGGATGTGGTATCACACGCGCCCCTTGATCCTTGCTAGATGAGCGATTTGGGGCTACCCAGTCCCCGGATACTAAACCTGTTCCTATCAATGTCCCGGAGTTGTCACATTAATTAGGTAGGCGGAGACACAGAGGTAGCGACAAATCAGCTGAGTGCTTCAGGCAGGCATCATTAGTCACTAGGTAAACCTCATCCTGCCCAAGGCTTAGACAACAGGGCTACTGCACTTCATCTTTCTTTATTCTTTTTGTGTAAAGCAGCCAGTCTGCGAGTGATTTCCTGAGGTCAGTGGAGGGAATCGTTCCAACATTCCCAGGATATGCGCAGCCTGGGCCAACCACTGCTTTAGATGTCTCGTCTCAATGCCTTTCCAAAAGACCAGGACCAGATCACCTCTCTTGTCCCTTACAGGAGGTCGCATAAACCTTGGTCTGTCCTGTCACCCAGGAAAGGGGAGGACAGAGGCCCCTTCCGGGGCCGGGCCGGTGGCAGAGGCAGGGCTACTGAGGAGGAAGGAGCCATGGGGAGTGCAGACTTGTCTGGTCTAGAGAAAGACTGCACAGGAAGGGAAGCAGTCCATCTACGAGACCCAAGACAGCCCTGGAAAATCCCTGCATGGGCCTCCGCTGCTGCTTTCACTCTAGCAGGTCAGGCTTCATTTCCTCCTCACCTACAATAGCTGCTTTCTGGAGTCAGGAAACGCTGTCCTCCTCCACTCAGAGCCATCTCTGGGGTCAGCCTCGGGGCAGCTCCACCACAGCCCTTAGTGAGCAGCTGGCCATGGGCCCAGAGCTCACCTGTCCTCCCCAAACCCTAAACTCCCCTAAGCATCCCCTGTACTGCCTGTTCTGTCCCTGGGTAGATCCCTGCATGACGAAGCCACTAGAACAATGTGCTGAAGATTCTCTACTGTTCTTCCCTTGGAACAGACAGATGTTGAATGGCAATTCATTCTTCTATCTCATTGTGAACCACACAACTGATGAATTTTTCATCAATGCATCATAATGTGAAACCCTAAATTGGCTACCCTCGGCTCCCCCGGTGCCTCTTCTTCCCTTAGATTCAGAAAGCTCTTGGACTTCATTGGACACAAAAGGACCTTAGGAGGGAGCCCCTTGACACCACACTTACTGCCGTCCCCCAAAGTCCCTGACCCCAAGAAAATCTGGTATTTATGAAGAAAAAGAGAAAGGAAACAAAACATGTGCCCAGAATGAGTTCAGTGATCAATATCAGGAACAAAAGATTTGTTCTGTATAACTGAGATTCTACCTGTATTTCCCAGCCACCCCACTACTGGCATCTACCTCAGTTATAGACCCTAACGGCTGTGCAAAACCATTAAGTGGGTTGGAGTAGGCAGAATACAGGGTGTAGAGTCCAGAGTTTGCGGAGCTTCACCTTTGCAACAGATACTACAGTAGGTTGTCCTCTATGTACTATCTCATTTATTCTTAAAAGACTTATTAATCATTTTCATTTTATAGACTTGAAAATAGGTCTTTTGTAAATAAGACGGGATCCAAGAGATGAAGGGAGGAGAAGGGGATAAAAATAGAACGGAGATGTGTTATGTACATGTACCAACTCCCCACAAGGAATGTGATCACTCCATACTACAAACACGGACTAATAACAACCAAAAATTGAAGAAAAAAATAAATGGGATGGACATTCAAACAAAAAGAAACTACATCCAGAGATTCATACCCAAGGTCTAGAGTCTTTAATTTCTTTGCTGTTACAATTTTTTTTTAACTGCATGGTTCCCTTTATATGAGAAACCCAAAATAGAAACAAAAAGCAAAATAAAAGATTAGAAAAATCTCTATCCACCTCAACATGTAGAGCTACACCTACTCTGTATCTCAGCCCATGTTTATGCCTGCGTAGATGCGTGTATACATGTGTCCATCTCTGAGTGTCTTTGACAGTGTCTCGCGAGGGTCCCTACTTGTATCTGTGTGGGCGACTGCCTCGGTGCCCAGGTCTCTGTTCAGTCTACAGCACTGGCCGTGTCTGTGTCAATACCTTTGACTTTCACTACTTGTACCTTCACGTGCAGATCTACATCCTCCATCTTTCTTCAGGTCCTTCAAGAGTTTGGGTCCCTCTCGGCCCCTCAAGAGCCATCCCTGCATGCTGGGCAGTGTGAATAGCAACCTGGTGATTTTCAGAATGGAGGTGAAGGAATCTGAGTTCCCACACTTGGGACAGAGCTCGGGGAGTGCACTCAGACAGGCAGAATCCAAGGCAAGAGCAAGTCCGCAGCCACTGAGTTTCAGAAAGATGCTTACTCCACATGGAGCATGGGAGGACAAATTCTCATGGTCTCTCACTAATGCATAATACCGCCCACTCCAGGCAGGCATGTGGCCCCCTTGATACTCAACACAGAGCTTGCCAGGAAACCAGTAAAGTTGGAAAACCAGGTGTGGACAGCATCTCTCAGTATCCACCTCTGCATCTCCCAGAATCCTCTTCTGCATCTCCTGCTGTTACAGTTCTTGTACACACAAACACACACACACATACACCAGGCCCACACATTCACTGCACGCTACTGAGATGGCACAGATAACCGAAGTTGGTGAGGCCTCTGTTGGGAAAAGGAGGAGGAGAAGAGCCACAACCCACACGCAATCCATGCAAGACTCATCATTCCTGTGCTTGGAGTTCCTTCTCCTCTTAGGACCACTGTCTCTTCCACTTGTTGTTTCGACGCCAAAACTGCATGGGACACCACACACTTCCCCTCACGGCCTCCCCGCCCTGCCCAGGGGGGTGGTGAGCCCCGCCCTGCAGGACCAGTTCTCAGCATCTTTCCTGGTGTCCACCCAGCCCCGCCCAGGTCCACTCGCCGTGTCCCTGGCCAGCGGTGGTGCGGCCGAGTGCAGTTCCCTCTGGTGTCTGTGTCTCTGCTCCAGCAGTCAAAGGAGATGTGAAACCTCCTGTGAGGCAGCAGCAGGAAGTGGTGGGCGAGGATCTCACTTCTCCCTTCATGTGGACACTGAGGGAGCTTTGAGAATAAGGCAGGACAGAAAACCCAAGACCTGGCTCAGCGAAGCAGTTTCTTCTTCATTTCCTCCCCCACTATTTTTACAGATTGCTCTGTGTTCCCATTTCCAGACAACTCCAAAGAATATTTTAACTGCTCTGTCCATCATTGCTTATCTGACCAGTTTTGTGCAGCACTAGGGCTGAAGGAGGTCTGGAGCCCCACAGCCAGGTTCCTACATGCTGTCCTTCACTTGCAGCCGCTCTGCAAAACCCACAGAGTAAGTGCTCTGCTCTCCCAGGCCTCGCCCCAGCCTGGCCAGCACGTGCCCGCCGTGGGTTCACCCCAGCGATCACGTGCACAGCATGATGGGAAGCAGAGGTGGGACTATGGACTCTGTTTCCATGTCACCTCACTGGGAACATTTGAGGAGTGGGAACGAACACCTATAGAAGAAGCGTTTATGTTAAAGAAAGCCAGTGGACTTAAAAGAAGAAAGAGCAGTCGCTGTGGGCAAGGTGGGCATGGTGGGTAAGGGGTCCTCTTGATTGAGGGGGGCACGGAGGTGAGCTTGAACACCAGGCTGGATTCACGTGGGAGGAGAGGAGAGTAGTTGGCATTGCAGTTCTGGCGCACAGCTCCCCAAGCCTGCCAGTGCTGTGAGCCGCTGCTCAGGGCCTGCAAGGAGGCTGGGTGGCTGAAACAGAACCGAGCTACGATGTCATCACCAGAGTTGTGTGTTAAAGGAAGCCAGCTGGGTGTGGAAAACGGAAAGTGTAAATAAGGATCAAAATCAATAACTGACAATGTGAAATAGGAAGAAAAGGTCTAAAGGGGAAGGGGAAGTGAGAGGTGTAGGGGAAAGGAAAGAAGGAAAAGGAATGAATATGAGAAAAGGAAAAAATGGACACAAAATCTTTGTAAATAGGAAGGGGTGGAGGGGGTGAAGGGAGGGCAGGGGAAGGGGAAAAAAATAAGAACCAAGATGCGTCATGTGAAGGTACAAGGTCCCGATGATGAATGTAACTGTATTATATACCTCAAATGTACCAATAAACTTAATTTTTTAAAAAAGAAGCCAGCTGTTTTCTTGTCCCTTTCCTGAGAATATGGCCATAACATACTCTCTCCTAGGCATTTCCGAAAACTGCTCCATGTAAGCTCTCAGGTTCCTCTTCTGGACAGAGGTTGTAAGTTGAGTCTCCATTTTTGGTGTTTTTTTTGTACCTGAGATCGAACTCGGAACTTTGTGCTTTCAAGGCAGGCGCCGGACCCACTGAGCTAAATCCCCAGCCCTCCATCTTACCAATAGAAAAAAACCCTGTTCAACCAGTCAGTCATTTGCAACCTAAAACCAATAGCATGAGACCACAGGGTTTTGACAGCCAAAATTAAATTATTCTATTCAGGGAAGGAATTGTATGCAAATTTAACTGGTGAACAGCAAACCGAAAGAAGGCATTTGGAATATCTATATTGGCCTGCGATTACTACAGAGAATATACATATTCCCCCAAATTCACCAGAAAATGCAATTTTTAAATAGACAAAAGAGCCGGGGATTTAGCTCAGTGGTTCCAGCACCTGCCTTGCAAGCGCAAGGACCCGAGTTTGATCCCTGGTACCAAATAAATAAATAAATAAATAAATAAATATAAATAAATAGACAAAAGATATGAACCACCAAAACACCAACAGAAATGACTATGATAAGATGCCCAGCCTCACTGGTAATGCAAAAAAGTTAAAACCACGAGCCAGGTGTGGTGGCCTGTAATCCCAACACTCAAGAGGCTGAGGCAGGAGGATCACCATGAGTTTAAGGACAGCCTGAACTGCACAGCGAGGGCCTGTCTCAAAAAAGATTAAAAAGAGAGAAAGAGAGAGAGAGAGATCCCACTCTATGCCCACAATATTGCCAACACTAGAAAGTCAAATAGTTTCAAGTGTTAGTGAAGACAAGGGGAAATGAGAACTATCTTGTTCTGTTGGTAGGAGCATAAACTGTTCTGATCCCTGAATTATAGAAACTACAAATTTGTTGAGTAAGAGAGAATTTAGCATCGGGAAACAAGGTAACATGCCTTTGAGAGTAGAGACTGGGTTGAGTGCTCTAAGTCTTGGAAGAGTTTAATAAAATTAAGTTGGTTAGCTCAGTGGTGCCAGTGCCTGCCGGGTAAGCGCAAGGTCCTGAGTTCGATCCCCGGTTCTGCAAAAGAAAAAAAAGGTATGTATTGCATAAAGATGAGTTGGGACTGGAAGTCAGAAACATATCCATGGAAGCCGCTGAACATGAAGGCCTAGAGATGGTTAAGGTGGGAATGAGCTGAGCAGGTTAAAGAAGATATTCCACCCCAGTTCCTGGATAGACAGAGCCAATGTAGACAAAATGGCCATACTGATATGTAGACTGAATGTGATCCAAATCAAAACACCAGCAGCATTCCTCACAGATCTAGGAAAAACAATCCTAGAATTCATATGGAACCAGAAGAGTCCCAGAAGAGCAAAACCAATCCTGGGCAACAAGAACAAAGCAGGCAGCATCACAATCCCAGATTTCAAGTTATATTACAAAGCTCTAGTGATAAAAACAGCATGGCACTGGCACAAAAACAGACGTGTGGATCAGTGAAATAGGGCAGAGGATGCAGAAACAATCCCAGGCACATTCAGCCAATTTGATTTTTGACAAAGGGAGTAAAAACAGATACTGGCCTCTTTAACAAATGGTGCTGGAAATATTTGCTATGCCCATGCAGAAGACCAAGTTTAGGTCAATATCTCTCCAAGTCTTTTTTTTTTTTTTTGGCACCGGGGATCTAGGTCAGTATCTCTCACCATGTACTAAAATAAAAGCAAATGGATTAGAGATCTAAATATTAAAACAGAGACACTGAATCTGCTAGAAAATAAGTAAAACTCTTGAAGACACAGGCATAAGCAAGGACTTTCTGAACAGTACCCCAATGGCCCAGAAATAATACCAAGAATCAACAAATGGAATCAGATCAAATTAAAATGCTTTTGCACAGGGCCAGGGATTTAGCTCAGTGATTCTCCCGCCTGCCTCGCAAGGGCAAGGTTCTGAGTTCGATCCCCGGTACCAAGAAAACAAAAAAAAAGCTTTTGCACAACAAAGATAACAACCAGCAGAATAAAGGGACCACCTACAGAATCCAAAAATTATGTCAGTTACTCCTTGCACAGGGAATAACATCTAAAATATATGAATAACTCAGAAAGTGCCCCCCATAAAGACCCAGTCAGAAAGTGAGCAACTGAAATGGTGGACACTTCCGGAAGTACAAGTGCCCGGGCTGCAGCCACTCTACCTTTGCTGCCATCTGCCACCCACTCAGCTCGAGCCAGAGCCAAAGCGCCTGAGGCGCCTGGACAGCTGCTGTGACAGGGCGATGCTCCGGCTGCCTGAGCAGCCGGGGAGGCTAAGGCAGGTGGAGCTGACCGAAGACGAGACGGTGACCCTGAGCTGGGAGGAGCTGGCACCGGCCTGAGCCCCAGGAGGCAGAGCTCCTCTGGCCCAAATGGAGGGCCAGTGGGACCTGCTGCCTGAGGACCTGGCACTGGGCGAGGAGGGGATGCCCCTGTGGACCCTGAGACAATGGCCAATAAATCCATGAAGAAATGCTCTGCACTGCTGGCCATTAGAGAAATGCAAATTAAAACAGCACTGAGATTCTCTTACTACAGAAAGAACGGTTATCATCAAGAAATCAAATAATAACAAATGTTGTCGAGGGTGTGAGGGAAAATGAACCTTCTACATTGCTGGTGAGAATGTAAACTACTACAACCACTATGTAAATTACATGGAGATTCCTCAGAAAACTGAAAATAGAAGTTACATTTGACCCAACTTCTAGGTATCTACTAGAAAGAATTAAAAATTAAATCTTTGAAGCACCCTATATGTCCATCAATAAGTAAATGATAAAGAAAATGTAGTATTTATACACAATGGAGTATTATTCTGCTGTAAGGGATAACATAGAGTCATTTTTAGGAAAATGGATAGGCCCTGAGACAATAATGTCAAGTGAACTAAATCAGGAGTGTACCAGTTATGTACGCGCACCAACCCCCCATGATGAATGTAATCACTATGTACGGCAAACATGGACTGATAAAAGGGGGGAAGAAAGCATTGAGGTAGAAGAAAAGAGCGTGGAGAAATACCCTAAAGTGAGGAGAAACCAGATTCTGTCAGGGAAGAGCAAAGAAAAGAGATTCATTCCCCCACTCCCTGGGCTGGGGCATTGCTCAGTGTGGAGCACTTGCCTGGAATTCCTGCTAGGGGAAGTGGGTAATCTCGGCCAGGCTAGAGACGGCCTTGAATGCTCTGGAACATTTAAGTGATGGTGTCATAGAATGCCTTAGGAGAGAGCATCCAACGTACGCCCATGATGTAACAGAGGAGGAACTGGGGCCCAAAGAGCAGAGGAGTCTTGTGTAAGGTCTCACAGGGCAATGAAAGCAGCTTCAAGCACTGACTGGCAGGAACGTTCTGGATGGGCTGGAAATGGAGCCGAAATTAGGAAGAACTAGAGAGCAGTAAGGGCCAGATGCAGAAAGGTAAAACCAAAATAAAAAGAAAAGCATCTCAAACGAAGAAAAATACAGCACTGAAGATAGCGTCAGTGCGTTTCAGAGAAGAGAAAGAGGTCAATGATCCTCCGAGGTCTGTGAGATCCTAGACAACAGTGATGTGCTAAGTTATTGTTTAGCTTTTCTATTATCCAAGGTGTCCTACAGATATTAACTTATTTGAGATTCACGACAGTCCTCTAAGATGAACACCACTGATATCATCATCCTTTTACCGGAAATAATACCCAGGCAGAGAGCTGGGATGAGTAGCTTGCCTCGGGGGACACAGCTAAAATCCAGTCAGGGCCGAATTCCCAGCCGTCTGCCTCCAGGCTTGCTCTTCCTCCCCAGTGCAGCGCTGCTCTCCACAGGGCCATGGTCCAGAGGAGGGTCGGTTCCGGGGAAGAACTGGGTATCTGGTCCTGGCTGAGACTCTGCTATAACATGAAAGCCAGAGATTCCCTTATCAGTACCCAGTAGCTTCACTCTTCACCCGAATGCTGTCCCATCCTCTGGCACAAGCAGCTCAGCAAGTGCAGAGCAGGTTCTGAGTGGAGGTCACGGTGTCCCGACCACGATGCCCGGCACGGCTCTTCCTGCGCGGTCGCCTAGGTCACAGGACAGATGGCGGGGAACACGCCAAGGCTTTGCCCTTCCGGCTGCTCCCCTTCACTTCCAATGTCAAAGCGATCTTCACCGACCCACCAAGTCTGAAGAGCACACACAGGTGTATCTTCTGCACCCCGAGCCTCGGCTTTCCCAGTTGTGGGAGAGTTACATTTCCCTCCAGCAGCCTGTGCCTGACAGAAACATTTCCACAAACAGCATAGTACAGAACACACACATGTACACCCGAGCAGCTTCTCCAACCATTCTGTGAGGAGATCATCAGAAGGCAGCTCGGCCCTCATCTCTCACATATTTTGCGCGAACTGATAGGGAACAAAGCCGTCACTGCGTGCTGAGACCAGGGAATGGGAGCTCAGCTGAGCAGCGAGGGGCTTGCCCTGTTCCCCTCCCCAGTGAGGGCAAGCTGTGCTCAGGCTGGGACAGGCTGGGATTGAAGTGACAACCCACTCAGAGCAGAAGTCACGGGTTCAGAAAGAAGCTAGGCTGGGCCGGGGAGTGGCTCAGGGCCACAGCAAGGCCCTGCATTTGATTCCCAGCACAGCCGAAGAAAGGAATGAAGCAACACTGACATTAAGAACTGAGGACTGAGATTTATTGCCTCAATGTGGGAATGGAGGCGGCTGCTCTGGGCTGCTCTGGATGCAAAGCCAAGCATGGCCCAGCCCCACCTGAGACACCACACACAGGCCCCCGGAGTGCCAGGGTTCTTTCTGCTCCGAGGAAAGACCCTAGACAGCACATGAGAAGCCGAGCATCCTCTGCTTGGAGATGTCGCTGGCGTCAAACTGGAGTCAGGACGAATCAGTCTAAGGAGAGTAAGATGAAGCAGTCATCAGGGGCCTCCTCCTCCCGAGGCTTCTCTGCCTGCGCCACGCCCTACCGAGGCCAGGCTCTCCTTGCTCCCCAGCCACCTCCAAACGTCTTCCTCAGAGGCCCCCGCATCACCCCTCTCCCACTGAAAGCCTCTCCTGTGCCCTGCATCTTATCTCTCTACCGGGGCCCCAGCTCAGTGGATGTGGCCGATGGTGCTGGAGACAGGCCCCGCACCCAAGGGCCTGTGGATCCTCGAGTGTCCCCCGCCACAGGGTAATCCGGGCATGTCCGACTCCCGCCACTGTGTCTGCTCAGCCGCCCTTCCAGAAGACATACCACCTGAGCAAGGCCATCCGAAGTAGACAGTGAGGACAGTGCCCACGATGATACCCAGCACTCCCAGGCCAAAGGCCACACCACACAGCACGTTCTCCAGGAGATCCGAGGGCAGGGCATTGTGGGGCACTGGAGGAAAGGTGCAGGTCAGCATGGGGACCTGGCTGAGGAGCCCTCTGCCCAGGGCAACGACTTGGGTATCTGGGGTGGCAAGGAGAAACTGAGGCCTGCGGCTCCAGGGAGGATGCGCGAAAGATCCAAGTAGAGAAAGAGGCCCCTCCCATGGGTCTACGTCTTTTTGCCCCTCTAAGGACCAGACTTCCAGGGAGAGGCTCTCACCCCAATAGGCAATTGCTGTGTAGCGGTCAATCTCATGAGTCGCCATGCAAGAGAAAACGTCAGAGTGTTCTGGTGTGAAGTTCAAGTAAGAAAAGGCTTGGAAGCTGAGTCCATCAACGGCTGAGACAAAAGTGGGCCCGACTCCTTCCACCGGCTCAGAATTATGCTCCCAGCTCACCGTCAGCATGGGGGGAAAGAGATTACTGACGAAGCACACCAGTGTGTTGGGCTTGCCGAACTCCAGGGGCTTCAGAGTGAACACCTCAGGGACAGGGAAACCTGGTGGGGGTTGACGTGTCAGGGAAAGAAAGGACAAGTTTAGATGCTGCCTTTGGGTTTGGAGAGGGTGAGGGCAGGGAAGGGGCCAATGGGTGGAGCTCTGGGGCCCAGAGATGAGGACGGGGCTGCAGCTGAGCCAGACCTGTGCAGACATTTCACTGGCATCTGACAAGCATCTCATCGGACACTTCCAGCTCCCTTCCCTCATGCACAGGTGCCAACAGTGGGCATCCCATGGGCCCTGCTGAATTCATCAAGTTCAACAGATGAGTTTGAATGCCTACTGCATGCCAGGCACCATCTCCTGCCCACAAGAAGGTGCAGGGTGCAGACTGTGGCTGGTGGAAAAAGAGAGGCCCTTGGGAAGGAGGAGAAGCCGGGAGACGTGGGTGGGAGGTGGTGTGAAAGGGAACACTTGCTGTTTGGGTAGAGGACGGTAAGAACATCCCCAACTCCCACCCCATCCCCCCCAAAAAACCCTAACCTCTGGACACTGGGATTTGCCCATCAAGTACTGGGTCGAGTTGCTGGACCATTATCTCGCAGAATTGTTTGTCAAATGCAATGGCAGGGGCATCACTCTGGTCCTGAGCCCAGTCAGCGAAGTCAGGCAGGCGAGGCACCCGGGTGTTCTTGGAAAAATCGAAGGAAAAAAGCAGGTCCTCGTCATAGCTCTCAGAGAGCCCGATGCTAGGAGTCCCTTCTTGGCAGAAAACCGTGTGCCGGAACGTGTGGTTCTGCAGGTCATCCCGCCACACTGGAGTATAAGCTGCAAAGACAGGGAGAGGCTTGGGGAGTTGGAGCTTAGACCCTGCGGTGGAGGCCCTCCTGTGTCTGTCCCTTGGGCTCCCCTCCCAACAGGGATAAAGAAATTGCGGAACTGCTCCAAGCCTCCCTTGCCCATAAAAAGGCCAACTGTTTAAAGTTGCACAAAGCAAAAGAAGCCTACTGCCTAAAGTGACAGATCCGGTCTCTCTGCTGGTTGTGTGTGTGGGCACTGTGCCAAGGCACCAGCCAAGGAGGCAGGTGGAGGCCAAAACGCAGCTTTCGCACTCTGCTCCCCGAGCTATGTGCCCGGCACGGTCTGTATCCCCTCGAGGGGTGCCTTTGTCTCATTCAGCAAGACCGAAATCTGGACTCTGGATGGGTCCCCTGTCCTAGAAGACAGAAGAAGGAAGGATCGTGGCTTCCTAAGCCATAATGACACTGCCCTATCTTACCTGGACACACATGTAAACAAACCTGACTTCCTTTCAGCCACTTCACTGGCACCAGGCTGTCCTGAAAATCTCTTCCACCACCTAAACCTCCAGGGGCCACAATGGGGTAGGTGACACCTGGCTGCAGGAAATCATCCTTCTTCTTGAAAACTACTGGCAGGAATCCCCAACCAGCAGGAAACATTCTACCCAATATCCAGAATGACAGGGCTGGGGATTCGGCTCAGTGGTGCCAGCGCCTGCCTCACAAGCTCAGGGTTCTGAGTTTGATCCCCGGTACCAAAAAAGGAAAGAAAGTTAACATCCAGAATGACAGATTAGAGTAAGAGGGCTCTTCCATTCTGTGCCACCCTTTACAGAGAAGAAACAATAAAGTTGGGGTTTCAAGCATCACAAGGCGAGTCTGATGGCAGAGTGAGTCAAGGCAGCATCTCGAGTGGAGGAATGGAAGTAACTTTTGCTCTGCTCAAATGCCAGCCCTACCACATTCCAGCAGTGTGAGCTCGTGCAAGCCCCCTAACTTCGCTGGGTCTCACATTCTTCATGCTGAAATGGAGAGAGGAATCTCGGCTTGGAGAAGTTGTCTGAAGCGGAACGTGTAAAACGCCTGACCCTGCTTACGGCCCATGAACAGAAGCTCTCCCAGCCGCTACTGTCCCCTCCGTCTCATAACCCTTCCCACCTCTTAGAAAGCACAGGGCCCCTCTTTGGTGCTGGGGTGGGACCCCTGGCTCCGTTAAGTGGAAGCCAGGCGCCTGTCTTACCTGCAGGGACAGCCCAGGAGCGGGGCAGCAGCCACAGAAGCCGAAGTAGCGGCAGCAGCGCAGCGCCTCGGCTCGGCTTCTCCTCCATACCTTCACACACTCTGCAGGTGGGGGCTGCCAACCCTATAGGCGCAGGTCCCCAACTCCCTCCCCCAGCGGGTAGCCTTAGGTCGATCTTGTTTGGCCAGCGCCTTTCCAGTGGCGCCCCATGTTTTTTCAGGTAAACCAATCACAGAAGAGTAGGGTTCAACATCATCGGTCACTGGGGAGAGACCGGGACCGGCCGTCTCCAGCAAACTTGGCCCTTTGTCTAGCTCGGGGCGCTGTGTACCGGGCGGGGAACGCCTGCCTCCTGCTGGAGCGCCCTCTGCAGCCTGGGCTATCCGGTCTTTAGAGCAGCGCCGCCTGGAGGCAGACGGCGCAGTGGGCAGCACATCTGTCCGCCCCCAGCCCCACCCTGGACTCCTAGGACTCCCATCTCCTCTTCCTTCCACTCCCCGTCCTCTTTCTCAGAAGGGTTATTCTCCTGGAGTTCACTCTAACTCCTCCTGCAGAAACATACTGAAAACGTAAGTGCTGAATGTTCAGCCCCGTGTTAGAAATACAAAAAAGAAAGCGGCCCCTGCCCCACCGTGTGAGAATGCATTCTGATTTCAGTCACCTGCCATCAACTTGTTACCTAGAAAACCCCAGAAATAAACAGTAAGTTTTAAATTGCTCACCATTCTAAGTAGCATGAGGGAATCTTGGGCCATCTGTTAATCATCTCTTTGCCTAGTGTATCTGAGCTGTCAACACCACCTACCGGTTAGTCACTTGGCAGCATCTCCTTTACCAAATTCATTGTCATTACATGGCAGGACTTGTTCCAGTGACCCTTATTTTAGTAATGGTCCCAAAGCACAGGAACAGTGATGATGGCAATTCAGATACGCCAAAGGGCAAGAAGTGCAAAAGCCCTAAAGTGTTTCCTTTAGGTGAAAAGGCAAACGTTCTTGGCTTTGTCAGGAAAGGGGAGGGAACTGGGTGAGTACAGCGCAATAAAACACACGTACACAGGGAGGGAGGGAGGAAGGGAGCGAGGGAGGACAGTCACGTAATTTTTATTACAGTATACTGTCACAATTGGTTTATTTGAGTCTTTTTTCTTTTTGGCAGCGGGGATCGAACCTGGGACCTTGCACTTGTAAAGCAGGCAGTGGAACCACTGAGCTAAGTCCCCAGCCCTACCATTGTTTTATTTTATTATTGTTGTTAATTTCTTGTGTGCCTAATAAATGTATTTTAGCATAGTTATGTATGTATAAGAAAAAGCACAGTACGTATAGGGTTTGGAGCGATCCATGTTTTCAGGCATCCACTGAGGGACTTGGAATGTTTCCCCACAGATGGGGGTGTATCAGAGTTCACTAGAGTAGCAGATTGGTTTACCAGGTAGGCTTATACCACCGCCTGCCTCAAAAGTGCAAGGTCCCGAGTTCGATCCCGGTACCAAAACCAACAAGGTAGGCTTACAGTGACTGCCCACGGAGTCCGGTGTGAAGAGTGCAAAAGGGCTGTCTGCGCGCTGGAGAACCGAGCAATCGTCAGAGATGGAAGACCTGGAGCCCACCGCAGTCTCACTGGGGTCGGCATGGGAAAGCCAAAGGGTCCGGGTTGGAAGACTGACGATTTCGAGCCGGAAGGCTGGAGGGTCTGTGCGGGAAGGAAAGAGTGTGCTAGAAGCCTGGAAACATGTCCCAGGGTGATGGCGGCGACTGGAGCTCCTCCCAAGAAACAGGCAAGACTCCTCCTTCTTTCCCGTTGCATTCCGTCCAGGCTGCAAGCTGTTGGCTGGTGCCACCCACACCCAGGTGGGTCTTCCCTCGTCAGTAGGCCCATCACCCGGACACACCGGAACCGTGCCGAGCCAGTCAGCTGGGTGTTCTTCTTCAAGTTGACACCACGGTTAACTATCACAGGGGCCAGCTACTAGGCATATTTCTACCTTCAAAGAGTTCGCAGCCTAGATGCGGAGGGGTCAATAAATAAAGAATTACCCAACAGTGTAATGTATGCCAGAATGTGCCCAGCCTGCCAGGAGGTAAGAGCCTTTCCTCTTTCATGTCCTTCCAGTATGATATTTCTACCTTGGAGGCACTTGGCCATGGACAGAAACTATGAGCTAAAATAAGCCTTTTTTCCTCTAAGTTTCCTTTCGCAAGTATTTGGTTGCAGTGCTGAAATGGTGACCAGTACAGAAAATAATGTACAGAGAATCAATTTATGTGACACATAAAATAATTATATAATCGTGTAAGTAAATGTATGACTGTAGGGTCAGTATCTTTGGGTTCAAATCCATGCCCATCACTTTCTACTAGATAATCTTTTTTCTCTCTCACATGCAAAATGGGGATAATGATAGCAATTCTTCATTCATTTATTAATCCTTCCAACAAGTATTTATTGAGTATGTACTATAGGTCTGTCACTCTTTTAAACATTAAAGCTTTGGAAATTTAAAAAGAAAACATTTTGACTATCTAATACATTAGTAATCCACACCATACACATACACAAAAAAGGGAACTATAGACAGCCTATCATATAACTATCATGAATTAAATACAGCCAGGATGGGGATATAAGTCAGAACTAGTGAGTGAGAGAACTTAACACTGAGAAAATTGCAGTGGAGTAAAAATCTGAAGGACACAATCAGAGCATAAATATATCTGGGAATAAAGCACACAGAGGGAAGGAATATGAAATGCAGAGAGGAGCAGGCAGCTAAGTTACCTGAGGTCAAATCAGAAAACCAAGTGTAACAGAGGAGTGAGAGACAAGGATGTAATAATGGCCAGAAAGGGACAGTCTGGAAAGGTGAAAGAGGCAGGGATAAATCCAGGCTTCTAATGTGACTGGCTCTGTGCTCAGGGATGAGCTGAGTTCAAACTGAAAATAACGACGCAGCAGGTTTAAAGAAAGAAAGAACATGTTTAACTCTATCCGTGTTGCATGTGGAGTGCCAGCAGGAGGCAGCAAGGTGTATGAGGGCAGATCCCATGTGCAGATGAACAACATGATTTGGGGAATAACGAGCACAAATGCTAAAGCAGAGGCCACGGTAAAACCAAAAAGACTATGCCAACCAAAAAGACTATGCCGAAGGAGCAGGAAGCAAAACAAGAGACATGGGAGGGGTCCAAATCCCAAACCTCACACCAGTTATCAGCCAGGCAGGAACACATAATCACTCTAGGTACTCAAGAACAAGAGAATTTCATATCCACAATTGGCTACAAATGTGTAAAATGGACAAGATGTGCAAAAAGGAGGAGGCTTGGCTGGAAGTACACATAGGAAAGACGGCTGTCTGGGAATCAGGAGCTGCTCTCGCCCCTGAGCTGGAATCCATAAATCCACATGTGGCTGCCCTGTGGGAGATACCGTCCTATTCAGATGTGCTCTCAGGAGCTGCCATCAAGTCTAGAGTCATCGAGAAAGTACTTCTGCCCAGAAGGCAGGAGTCCAGAATCGCTCATTCTTCCTGTTGCTACATCAACCAGCAATTGTCACAACTGTTAGCCTGCAGGAGACAGAAGCAGGAAGCGTCTGGCTTTCTCCTGCCTTCTGATCTCCCACCAGTGCCTCCTACTGGCAGACTAACCGGAAGCCAGCTGGCCAGGAAGTCTGGGAGATACAGCGGGCTGGCTGACTGCACAGTACAGGAGGGTGGGCGTGGCACCCAAGAGACAATACAGAATAAGTAGCACACAGGAATGCGCACGCTTGTAAGAATCTGGTGGCACCAGGAGCTCTTGGAGAATTAAGAGAACAGGGAGGAAGCGGATCAGAGGAACAGAGGTGTCCCAAGAAGGGGGGCGAGGCCAGCATTGAGTCACTCAAGTCATGGACTAAAAAGTGCCCTGACATGTGGTAATTATGGGATGGTTGACAAATTTATTGAGAGCAATTTCAGTGCTGTAGTGGGAGGCAACTCCAGATTGCAGTGGGCCGAGATGTGGGAGGTGAGGAAGAAACTGCCAGTGTATATGATAGAGAAGAGAGACAGAAGGGGCGAGGGACGACAGAATGAGAAAGATCCAATGTGGCAAGTAAGTAATCTAAGAAATTAATCTGTGTGAATGTGCTCCATCAGTGTCCTAGACTTTCAAAATCCGTATCCTTTGAATAAAGGCCAAAAATAAAAACAAAAACAACCCCCATGACCTCACAGATAATCTGGGAACAGCAATCTGTACATATGTGGTTATCTAGGTGTTGAGGGGATAGGGTGTCAGGGTAGGGGCAGAGTTCGGAGATCACCGTAACACTCTGAAGAGCAAAAGAACATTTTCCGAATGTCCCAGTGTCCTAGAGTAAGCCATCAGCGGTTCTGGCAGTGGGGAGATGCAGCCCCACAGAACCACGGAAGGAAGTTTATGACTCCTTGGAACTACAGAGGAGACACGTGCCCCGAAGCTACCTGCGGCTCTAGACCAGGTGGGCACGCCTTTCCTGTAAAGGGTCAGAGAGCAGGAATCTCAGGCTTGAGGGTTGGCAGTCTCTGCCCTGAGTACTCCGTCATGGCAGGAAGGCAGCTGCAGGCAAAGCAGAATGTGCGAGCACAGCTCAGTCCCTGCTTCCTCCTGCCTCCCTCCCATGTCTCCGGCAGCTCCCGCTCCTTCTCCTTGGTGGACCTTCTTGCAGCTGCTCTTTAAATACTGGTGTTCCCTGAGGTTGTGAGTCCAACCCCTTTATGAACTAACATTCAGATTTCACATATCTATATGTCTGGAAACATTCTTCTTTGGCTTTTTTTCTCCCAACCATTTAAATCTGCAAAACCATTCTTAGCTCTTAAACCATATGAAAACAGGCAGTGGGCTGGATTTTGCTTACAGGACCATACTTTGCTGAAAGCTCTTCTCGGTGTGGTCACAATTGGGATGGAAACCCAAAATAAATCCACTGTTTACGAGCTTCATTCTCCTTTATTCATGGCAACAGCAATCGGTTAGTGAACAGTGCGCCTTGGTGACAGGTTACCTGGGAGATCTGGGAAAGAACAGAAGTGGGCTGAGCGGGAGACACAGGAACAGGTACAGCAGACACCGGAAATACTCTGGGTATGAAGAGGGAGGCAAAGGGGTCAGAGCGCTCCAGAAAGCAGGGTGTGGACAGGACAAAAATGAGAAATGTAATCACCCATCACCAAGACTACGGCTCGGCCAGGTAGTTAATTCCTTTATCTCCCTTCTGTAATCCCTGTATGACTTGTACCAAGTTCCAAAATTTATAACTTGGCTTCCCTCTATGTAACCCTTCTTCCTCCCAGGACTTCCCCACAGCCTCCGTCAAAGGTGCCTCAGAAGTAGTCTTTAATCACTTTGAGGAAATAATAGTGGGCCAGACCAGGGCAGCCAGTTTTCGCTGTCCATTTTGTCATTAAATATAAATGCCTGGGAGAGGGGCATGAGAAAAATGTATTCTACACATTGAAGCTCGCCAAAAACGTGAAATTAGGAAAAAGGGTAGGACAAAGGGGTGCTGAGGAGGGTATGAAAATGATCAAAATATACTGTGTGCATGTATGAATTGGTCAAAATGAAATATGTTTCATTAACATAGTGTGGTGAATTAACTAATAGTCAACTTGTAACGCCCAGCTGAATTGAATAGCCTGGTTCTGGGCGTGGAAGATCGACCTGAGGCTTGTGGCCAAGGGCATAAAAAGAGAACTGGAGAGGGAGATCATCTGCTGTTGATTTCCTTGGAGAAGCTTGCCGAGGCTGGTTTTCCTGATCTGAACTTGGCTGAACTTGGCTGTTCTGGTCACGGGAGGAGCTCGAGACCTCGCTGTCACTGGGAATGGCTGCTGTTTTCATCAGGGGAGCTCTGATCTTCACCTTGAGTGCTGCTTCCCTTAGCCTGGTGGCACAAATCTTTCACCCGGCCATTGCAGGCTTTCTAGCTTCCACCACTGGTCCTGTGCCTTCCTGGTGCAGACCAATATGGACCTTGCATGAGACATTGCCATGGGCTCTAGGCCTCTGGCTGGACTTGTGGAGGACATTGCCGTGGGCTCTAGGCCCTTGGCTAGATTCTTTGGGTCTCTAGTGTGTGAACAGACTTCTTGCACTCCTGTGCATTTCAGTTTTTGGATGAATAACATAAAATAATCCTACAAATTATGTTTCCTGTACTAAATCTGTTCCCTTGCAAAACCCTGACTACAACACATAGGGTTTACACCATAATATATAGCCAGGATCGGATTTTGGAAAGCTCACTGCTGACAGTAATGTGGTACAGGAAGAGAAAAAAACCTAGAGTAACTGCCCAAAACACTTTTTTTGCAATGACAGAAATGTTCTATAATCTGTGCTGTTCCATAACAGCTACTAGCCATATGTGGCTACTGAGAACTTGAAATGTGGCTAGTGGACTGAGGAACTAAATTTAAAATTTACTTAAATTCAAGCTGGGTGTGGTGGGAAGCACGGCTGTAATCCCAGCACCTGGAAGGGTGAGGCAGGAAGATTGCCACGAGTTCAAGGCCGGCCTGGGCTACATAGGGAGTTCAAGGCCAACCAGAACTATGCAAGGAGACCTTGTTTCAAAAAAAAATTGTATTTAAAATCAAATAAACACATATATCTAGTGCCTACTGTATTGGATAGTGCAGCTTTGAAGGTAAGGAAATTTCCTAGGAGACTGTCAACATAGCCTAGGTGATAGGATTAGGACAGGAGTGAGGTTCAATGGATACTTCAGAGGGAAAATGGTAAGTCTGGTGGATATAAAGTTGTGAGAGAAAAAACAAGGGGCTCCTAGGTTCTAGGCTTTGTGACTGAGTAGCTGCCATCACACAGAGTAACAGGAGCAGCAAGTCTAGAGCACATACAGAATGCATCAATTTTGAATATGTTAAAGTGTTTGAGGGTACCCAAGCAGGACCATTTAGTAAGAAATTTAGTTCAGGACTGCTGAAAGGTTTTGAGCCATTAAGTGTGATACTACTTAGAAACGCCAGAACTAGAAGAAAACAGATATTAATCCTGGCAAACATCAACATGAGGGAAGGGGCTTCGGGGTTCAGAAAGGAGACCGGGAAAAGAGACAGGGAGGAAAAGAAACTGGTGAGACTGGTCACAGAGGTCAAGGGCATGGAGAACGTCAGGAAGGAAGTATGGGCAAGCGGCAAATGCTCCAGAGAGGTCAAATAAGGTGAGAACTGAAGAATGTTTTCTGCCTTTTCCAATTAGGAGCTCCTTGAGGACAAGTGCCTGAAGAGTTTTGGTAGTGGAAGCCTGGTAGGTAAGAGTTAAAGGGGGTGGGGGTGGAGCGAGGGAGGAAGGGAAGGGGAGAAGAATAGATGGAGGGAGAACTTAGAGCATATGCTAATTTTAAGTACAGGTCCTGGATATCGGCCTTTGCAAGGGACCTGAGAGTAGTAAGTCTACTAAGAGGCCAAGATATTGAAAAAATTGTTTCCCTTTCTTTTTTCTGGTTAGGAAATAGTTTAGAATTCCAAAGGGTGAAATGGAGGGTAGCCTCAGGATAACAGAGAAAGTTAACCGGGTCAAAAGTAAAGAGATTTTCTTAAACCAAGAGCAACCCCTAAGGAAATGGGAAAGGGATACAGATATGCGTCCCAGTTTACAGTGGGTGGGGTGCGGGTGGCGGCTCCGAGTTGGTTCTGCGAGGTGACAGCCACAGGCGGGGAGTGGATACCAGAGGTCGGGAGGGAAAACCTGGACCAAACTGGGCTAGGGACAAGTTAAAGCACTGCGTGGGTGTCGACCGGATCACCCCATTTTGTTACCAATGCCTGAATTTGTATGAGACTGAGTCAAAACTGAGGGAGCAGAAGGCCAAGCTTTCAGAGTACGAATTTTAACTTAGTTTGGCCACGGGGTAGAAGAGATCAGCTGGTAAATCTGTGGAAGGCAGAGGACTCCAAGAACTTGGAGGTCCCTAAGAAGAACTTAGGGTCCTCAGGGGACACAAGAGGTCGTACAGCTAAGACGCCCAACAAATGGCCCACACCTACGCGCGCACCTCAGCGGCCGGCCGCAGGAACGAGGACCACGAGGTCTCCCCCGCGGCCGAGCCACACTACACCGGGGCGGAGCCCCACCTCGCAAACCCTCAGGTCCTCCCGCCTCGGTCCCGATGGGCTCCGGCTAGGCCGCAGCGAGCAGCACCTCTCACCGAGGCCCGGAGCCAGAGCGGCCGCCCCGGGCCGCGCGGAGGCCGGCGGTGGAAGAAGGTCGCCGAGTCAGGCCGCCCGCGCGCGCGCCGGCTTCCGCCCCACCCACCTGCCGCGCGCCCTCGGAGCTCGGACGCGGGAGCTGCGGTTGGGCTCGCACGCCTGCGCACTGGCGCCCTCCAGCATGCCTCTCCCCTCCCCCAAGCCGGTCGCACTCTCGCGCCTGCGCTGTGCGTTTCGGGGTTGCGGCGGCCATGCTGAACCCGTACCGAGAGGCTGGCGGGGGGGACAGGGTCGACGACGGCAGGACAGGAAGCTGGACATGTGGAGAAGCAGCAGCATTAGCGTGCTCTGGGTTTGAGACGTGGGCCTGGGCCAAGAGGCGCCCTTGGACCCCTCACACGAGCCCCAGGAACGTTCGGAAAACTGGCCCTCGTGGCGGGGAGGGGGAGGAAGGGGCGGCCAGGTGACCCCGGCAGCCAATCCGGATGCTGCTGACGTGGCCGCGCGCCCACGAGGCCCTCCCCTCCCCAAACCCGCTCGGGAAGGGAGGGGCTGGGGCTGCGTCCCCTCCCCCAACGCCGCTTCGGTTTCGGGGGGGGGGGTTGACACCCCGGATTGCTTCCTCCCCCCGCACCCTGCCGAGGGCGACACGGGAGTCCCCCCCGGAAATTTCCAGGATCCAGGTGAGAAGGGGCCCTTGGGGCGGGGATGTTCGCAGTCAACTGAATGCCTAACCATTGGTGGGGAGTCGGGGGGAATTCTTGGGGTTCAGAAAAGAATCCTGAGGGTGGAGGGCTTGTCCTTCAAACACTTCACAGCCAATGGGAGTGTGGAGGGGGGCAAGCAGGCGAGGGCCCTCGTGGGGGGAGGGGAATGGCCCACCTCGTGCCTCCGTGCCAATTGGAGGGCAAAGGGGCGACGGGCGGTGTGGCCCCCCTTGCGCGCGTCCCCTGGGGGTTCGGGAGCCTGGAGCCAGGTGAGGAGGGACCTTCTGGGCGGTGGTAGTTCTTCGTCGGGGGAGTGAGGGCTCTGGGAGTGGGCAGCCCCGGCGGGAGCCGAGCTTGCTCCAGGGCCGGCGCCCTCTCCCCAGAGGCCCGAGGGGCGTCTCCATCTCCTTTGTGTGCGGGTGGGAGGCTCGCAGTCGCCACTCGGCGTGCAGGAGGGGACGCTTCGAGCCCCGCGAGCCCGTGTGCGTCCACGTGGGCGCAGTTGGGCCCCGCACGAGCGTGGCCCAGGCGTCCGGGGTCTCAGGCTGAGCCCGGGAGGGCTCAGCCTTGGACCCGCTCCCGGGCCGCACAGCTCCCAGGGTTTCGGGTTTCCCCGGGGCGGCCTCCTGCGCGCCCTCCCCCAGCCCCGAACAGATCTCTCCTTGTGCGCTGCGGGGGAGGGAGCGGAAGGGAGGAAAGAGTTACTTTTCCAAATGGCCGAGCCGCAGCGGCCTCCCTTGTGACTCACGGGGGGGGGGGGGCAGTGATTTTCCGGAACGCGGGGAATTGAGAGTTATGTCTGGCTGCCCTTTTCTTCTCTAAGGCCCAAAATTTTCTCGGTCTCCTAAACTTCTCTGGCGAGCCGGGTCCCTCAAAGGGGCCTCTGCCCTGACCTGCGAAGCCCGGGGGGGGGGGGGGATCAGATCCGGGAGGCTGGGCCGCCAGGGGGAAGGGAGGCGGCCTCTGCAAAGTTGCTGTCTCATTGCGGGCCCTGCCGCAGCCGCCCGGGCGGGGCCCGCCTGACCCTGGCGGGGGTGGGGGCTCTGCTTTCCCGGGGCGCGCGCCCCCTCCCCACTCGGAGGCCCACAAGGCGGGAGGCGGCGGCCGAGGTTCGAGCCCAGGGGCCCCTGCGAGGGACGGTGTTGGGGCTGCCGCTCGAGGACCTTCCCTAGCCCTTGCGAGCCCTTGCCGGCGAGGCGGGCTCCCCTTTCGCGCCAGCTACGTTAACCTCCTTGCCCAGGCGCGCACGCCAGTCGGCTTCCTGCGCAGCGAGAAAGGAAGGGGGCAAAGCCAGGTACTCAGCCAGGGAGAGCCCTTTGCTGTCCCGCAAGGGGACGGGGGGGGGCGGGGCGCTCCGGGGATCCCGACCTTGGGCTCTGGCTGCGTTCGCGCATCCGGCCCGTTACCCCAGTCACGGTCTAGGAGAGAGACTTGGGGGAGGGGGCGAACCCGAGCTCCCCAAACGGCTCCTGCCCCTCCTCGGAGGCGGACGGCCCGGGGGAGGGGAGGAGGGGAAGGAGGGGGAGGGCTGCTGAGCCGCAGCCGCCGCCTCCTCCGCTCGTCCTCCTCCCTGGCGCTGACCGATGGACGCGGCGCTCCGTGGGGAGGACCCCGGCCCTGGGGGATGGGGCGGCCGGCCCCCCGCGCGGAGGGACCCCGGAGGGGGCGCTTCCCGGGCCTCGCCCCTTGCAGGACTTTTTTTTTTTTTTCTGCGTTCGGAGCCAGACGCCGAGAGCCAGCTTGGGGAAGTGGGTTCGTGGGCCGGCGGGAGGTGTCGCCGGGCGGGCGGCGGTGCGGGTGGGCGCGGGCGCAGGCAGATGCTTGGGGTGGGACGTGCTCTGGCTTCGGCGGCCTTGCTAAGCTGCCACCAGGAGCTTACAGTTGATCAGAGTCTCGCGTTTGTCTCGAGGCTGGGGGGGGGGGGCTGAAGCCTGGCGAGCAGTGTTTGGGTGGCGGAGACCTGAGCCGCTTGCTGCGGCCTCTAAGATGGCGCCTTTCTCCCTCGTTGCAGATCTCGGCCGCGGAGGCCTCGCCGCTGAGCTCGACTGCGCCCTGCGGCCACACCCTTGGCGACGCCCACGCCACCCCTCCCGGCGCCCTGCCGCGCAGGCCGGAGCGGCGACGGACGGCGCGGCTCGCACCGTGCTCGGAGCCTGGGAGGATTTCGAGGATTTCGTTGGAAAGGAAGGCGAGAAGGTGCCGGGGTCTCTGGGGACATGGCGCTTGCACCCCATCTAGCCTCCTCTCCCTGGAGTCGCGGGAGCATAGTGCAACCAATTGGCTCCGAGAGACGGCGAGCGGCCGCTCCCTGGCGGGCCTATGCGGCACTCTCCTGCCTGGTGACCGACGCCTGGAAAATGAACTGTGTGATGTCATCGACTCGGCCGACCAATGGAAAAAGCTCCCGCGGAGAGGCGTTCCTCCTCTTTCGACTTGGCCCCCTCACGCGCGTGAGCGAGCGAGCGCGCGCGGAGGGGGTGGGGAAAATCTCTAGCCGGGTGGCGCGCATGAGCAGCGAAGCTCCTCCCTCCTGCCTATATATAAAGGGCTGGCGCCGGGGCTCGGCGGCGCCATTTCGCGCTGGAGTGGAGCAGCCTCTAGAGCGACCTGGGGGATTCTGCCAACCCGTACAGAGCCTACGAGTCGTCGGGGGCCGCCATTACAATCCACGTCCATCCGCTTGGAAATGGCCTTCGTCTCGGCCTATGACCGGTCCCGGCGGACAGTGCAGACCCCATAGAAGCCCCTGAAGCTCCCCTTTTTCGGGCCCCGCCCAGTTCTCGGAGTCTGTCCACCCCCTCTACTCCGCCCTCAAGAGGATTTCAAAGATGGAGGCGGCGGCTCTGTAAACCACTTTTCGTGTTCATCCGCCTCCATCCGAGGTCGCATCAGGCCCTCGTCCGCCCTGCACCGTTCCGACGGGAAGAGGGGACCCCTGCAGACCGACGGCGGGCTGTATTGACGGTGTCGGGTCGGGGACTGTCTGGGTCTGAAGAGCCGGTCCCCTCGATTTCGGCCGAGGCCGCCGCCATTTTCTTCCTGTCCGCCGCCTGCGAAGCGCGCCAAGCTGCCGGGAGTTGTCGGAGAGGCGGCGGAGGAGACCGCTCTGTGCCGGCCCGGTGGGGCGCTTGTCTGGAGGGCGGCGGGCAGCGGCCTCCCCCACTTCCCGGGTTATGCTGGGCCGGGCGGTGAGGGGAGCCGAGGCCACCCGGACTTGACGCGGCTGAGGGAGGCGCCGGTCCCCTGCGGTGGAGATGCTGCAGAACGTGGCTCCCCACAAGTAGGTGCCCGCGGGGGGCGCGGGGCTGAAGGGCGGTTTCTGCAGGCGCGGCGGCGCGCTCCCTGGGCCCGCGCTCGGCAGTGGAAGCTGTCAGTTGTAGGCTGCTTCGCCGCCGGGACTCCTGGAGGCCGAGGCCGAGCCGGGCAGGGCTAGTTTGACGGGAGAGCGGAGTGGGGACGGGCGAGTTTTCAGGTGAACAAGCAGGTCCTAGGGGCCTGGTAGCTGGCCTGGCATTTGGGGGTTTCGTGGCCACCCTGGGTGCCGAGTCGGGTTGCCATGGTGAGAGCTTCGGGGACTGGCAGAGGGATCACCCTCCCGGCCGGGGCTCCTGCTGTCTGCAGCTTGTCTGCATTTCTGCGTGTCTTAATGACTGGATGTCGGGTGTGCATTTGGTCCGTTGGGGGTATGCTTTTTGGTAGCGTTGAGTTCATTCAGGACGAGAGGGTGGAGCTAAGACCGTGGAGCTCTGCGGATGTAAACAATGAGATCTCGCTGTAGCATCTCTGAACTTGGGGGTGGGAAACACCTGGTCCAGGAGCGCACCCGGGGAACTGACTAAACCTGAACCACCTTCGGCCTCTGGTCTCTTAGGTGCTGCAGTGGATACTGTTGGTGGGACTGTGTTTCTAGCGGGGAGTGAGGGGGTTGATAGCCTTGGTTGTTGGGTGGCTCCGTCTTTTGAGCTTGGGGAATGGAGACTCGGTTTGGTGTGAATAATTTTGAAGAGCTGGCACTTTAAACTGGGAAGGCTGGCATATATTCTCTTGTCTGGATTTTTGGTTGTATGTGTATTCTTCGTTAGATTTTCAGTCCGTTTTCTACTGAGGAGGTGTAACTACTTTGTCTCCGAGGATTGCCTCTTCTACCCAGATGGATTCTTAGCAGTCTTAGCAGCATTTTACGAAATTTTTCTCCATACTCTGTTCCCTTCCCCTTTTTCACCGGCTTCCCTCAGGCTCAACCACCATGGCAACCGCCAAACCCCTTGTGAGGAGGAAGCTTGAGTTGCTCAGCTCCACCCGTTTTGCTTAGGATCCATTCCCGTAGGGGTGTTGTTCTCAGATGTTGTGCCATCTTAAGAGGTTTTGTTTTAAGTTGAGCAGAACTCACCAGATTTCAGAAGGTGGGAACTTGATTAGGTATACTAAAAATAAAACAAAAAGTGGGCAGTGGGCAACAGAAGCTCCATAGATTATTCTAGTGAGGACTGCTTGCAATAAGCTTAGTCTCCTTACTAGATCCACATCGTGGATTTATTGGGCGCACAGTGCAAATGACATTTTTTTCTTGATTCAGTGAGATTACCACATCTAATTTTGTTTTCTATCTTTACAGGCTCCCTGGGGAAGGGAATGCAGGGTTATTGGGACTGGGCCCAGAGGCGGCAGCCCCAGGGAAAAGGATCCGAAAGCCTTCTCTCTTATATGAGGGATTCGAGAGCCCGACAATGGCTTCAGTGCCAGCCTTGCAACTGACCCCTGCCAACCCACCACCCCCTGAGGTGTCTAATCCAAAAAAACCAGGACGCGTAACCAACCAGCTACAGTACCTCCACAAGGTGGTGATGAAGGCTTTGTGGAAACATCAGTTTGCATGGCCGTTCCGACAGCCTGTGGATGCTGTCAAGCTGGGTCTGCCGGTGAGTAGAAGAGACGTTGGCATTTTGGAGCAATGTGAATGAACAAGAATGTGTGTGTGAGCTGGGGTGGGCTGCCTGGTACAGGTGCTGCGGCCCCTAGGGACTTCCCATTTCTCCCTTGTAGTGTAGTGTAGATAGCCACCCGAGTTTTAGATTCTTGGTAATTGTTCGAAACACTTGCTGTATCTTGGCATCTATTGTTGTGCCCTCCATGTGTCCTTAACTTTTGTGCGCTGGCTCCATTTTACAGATTCCCACCCCAGGTTGGGAGAGGACCACGGTGGCCAAAATTCTTAGCTTCTTCCTTTCCCTCATGCAGTCCATGGATAGCCAACCCCAGAGGTAATGTCACAGGATGGGAAGTTGCCAGAGTGGGGGGGGGGGGTGGATAGGGAAAGTAGTAGAGGCTTTCCAGTGGGTATTAATTCTATTCCATTTTCTTTTTGCCCTGTAGTTTAATTGGGGCCGCAGTCAAGGGAACTGCAGTGCTTTGCATAGGGAGTGTGTGTGTGTCTGTGTGCGCACGCGCACCTGCATGCTTGGGGTCGAAGTTTGTCTAAGTAGGCATTTAATTTTTAGTGATTCTGACCAATTTTTTTCTTCAGGATTATCACAAAATTATAAAACAACCGATGGACATGGGTACTATTAAGAGGAGACTAGAAAACACCTATTATTGGGCCGCCTCCGAATGTATGCAGGATTTTAATACCATGTTCACCAACTGTTATATTTACAACAAGGTAAGTTTTTTTGTTTGGTTATCAGCTGATATTTCTTGCATTAACATTAAAAGTCTTAAGTGTTTCTTACTACTAAAGGTGTTACCTGATTAGTCAGAGTAAAAATCCAGAGTTCCAAATGATGCTAGCAAACATTGAGGTGGCTTTTCAGAACTTCATAGTTAATAGAGCATATTTTATGGTTGATGATGGTGGCCCTGTTTTTAGAAAGCTCCAAAGACCTGAATAAAGCTGGATCTATTTCCTGATCAGTTCTCATTCTCTTAAACTTGGGAACATTAGGGCCCATATACATTTGCTCATTTTAAGAGACGGTTTGGAAAGAAAGAATTTAGCCCCCCGGTGTATATAGTATTTGGTGACAAGGTTGTCTTAATTACTTTGTGCTTTGTATCTATAGCCCACTGATGACATTGTCCTGATGGCACAAACATTGGAAAAGATTTTCCTTCAGAAAGTGGCATCAATGCCACAAGAGGAACAAGAGCTTGTGGTGACGATCCCTAAGAACAGCCATAAGAAGGGGGCCAAGTTGGCAGGTGGGAAGAGTGAACATTTTGTAGATTTGCTAGTGGAAACCTAAAGATGGGAAAGAGACTCAAACAATTTTTTTTTCTTTTTCTAGCACTCCAGGGCAGTATTACAAGTGCCCATCAGGTGCCTGCTGTTTCTTCTGTGTCGCACACTGCCCTATATACACCACCACCTGAGATACCTACCACTGTCCTCAACATTCCCCATCCATCAGTCATCTCTTCTCCTCTTCTCAAATCCCTGCATTCTGCTGGACCTCCACTCCTTGCTGTTTCTGCAGCTCCTCCAGCTCAGCCCCTGGCCAAGGTATAGATCGATGGATATATTTTGGACAGTGGGGAAGAAAAGGATTTTAGTCGAATGAACCAGGAGTAAGAGGCTCCTGTCTTTTTTTTTTTTTTTTTTTTTTTTTTTTTTTTTTTTTTTTACAGAAAAAAGGGGTTAAACGGAAAGCAGATACTACCACCCCTACGCCTACAACCATCCTGGCTCCTGGTTCTCCAGCTAGCCCTCCTGGTAGTCTTGAGCCCAAGGCAGCACGTCTTCCCCCTATGCGCAGAGAGAGTGGCCGCCCCATCAAGCCCCCACGCAAAGACTTGCCTGACTCTCAGCAGCAACACCAGAGCTCTAAGAAAGGAAAGCTATCAGAACAGTTAAAGCATTGCAATGGCATTTTGAAGGAATTACTCTCTAAGAAGCATGCTGCCTATGCCTGGCCTTTCTATAAACCAGTGGACGCTTCTGCTCTTGGCCTGCATGACTACCACGACATCATTAAGCACCCCATGGACCTCAGCACTGTCAAGGTACCCACTGCATGGGGCAGATGGGACGCTCAGGCAGTGATTGGAACCTGGGGATCAATAAAACAATATTCATGTATCTTGATGGGCACGCAGCTGTTTTTTATTCTTGGTATTTTACCTTCATAAAGTTGTAACAGGGCAGAAAATATCATGTACTCTGAAATCCGTATTTCTTACAGTAAGGATGGGTTTTACTTGTTATTACAGCAACACTGCTCACAGTGTACTAACTGAATGTGTTGGATTAGGGAAGTTAAAGGGAAGGAAGGTCAGGGGCCACTTCCTATCTCTTAGACATAGTTTCTTTCCTAGACATAGATTTCTGCTAGACCTACATATTTCAACTCACCCAAAGTGCTTTGACCTCAAACTTGAACTCCAGAGCACAGGTCCTTGAGGTCATCCCCACTGTTCTCTCAAGAGAGGGCTCTTGTGGTATTTGGGGTTGGCAGGGAAATGTGAGTCTCTCTGCCTGTGCAGCTTCTGACGCTGCCTCCTTCTGCAGCGGAAGATGGAGAATCGAGATTAC